CTCGCTTCTCCAACTCTAGGTAAATGTTGGGAGTTTCTTGTTCTTCAATCAGCTCTAAGATATCGTCACTGGATTCGATTTTCATCTTCACAGTTCATTTCCTTCCATCAAATACTGCCCACAATATGTACTCAAAATTACAAGGATTGGCCTTTAATAATGCTTGAGCACGAGAAACTACTTCAGAATATATTTGTTGGCCGTAATTTATTCTCATCAGCTCTGACACTCCACCAAGATATGAACACCCGGAAAACGAACCACCATAGTGCATGAATACTTTAACACGGTTGCTAGCCATTCAAATAAGTGAATAACAAAAACAATTAAAACGAAAGAAACAGAAAAATGTAGTAGATGAATGGTGCAGAATGGAGAAGAGAGACGTTAAATTGTTAGAGATCACTATTTTTTTTCCTGCATGATAAATGCAGAGACAAAATCCTCACCTGTGAAAAAGTAGTCAATTTATGAGGTGCGTAACTTATGCGACAGATATGCGAAAAATTCCGAATAGTCGTAAAATTGCAAGGTCGATATGGCCCTACAAAAAAATGGCGCATAATCGTCAAATAACTTATCCTTTATTCGATTTGGTTATGCGATTCTTAAATATGCAAGCGAAAAAATGTTGCATAATTGTCAATTATCCGGCGTTATACTGGATATATGCAAAAGTTTTTCGCATATTAGTAAATTATGCGATTGACTTGGATATGCAAATACTAAAAATACGAAGTTAACAAATTATGCGAATTATATGCGAAACATTTCGCATAGTCATAAATTTGCAAGGTCGATATAGCCCTGCAAAAAGAAGGCGCATAATTATCTTAAATTGTTCTGCATTCGATTTGGATATTCAATTCTTAAAAATGCGAAAGATGTTCGCATATTTGTAAATTATGCTTTTGATTTGGATATGCGATCCCTAAATATGCGAAATGTTTTCACATAGTCATAAAATATGCGTCGGTTGGATATGCGCTGGTTCATTTGGACATGTGAGTGTAATATCACATAACATTTCGTGATTTTGGGGGTGTAAAAGAAGTTATTTGACGGGGTGGTGTGTAAAAGAAAGAATAGATATATAACGGAGTGAAAAAGATTTTGACCCATTAGTAATTATGTGAGGTATTGTTGCATGTATATCAATGCATATCTAAACGGATAGATGGACAGATAGTTAAATATTATGAAAAATATTTCCGCACATATTGTACTCACATATTCATATTCATCGCATAATTTATGATACGTGAAACTATTTCGCGTATAGTTATTGGATATTCAAAGTCGAAAGTCCATATTTTAGGATTATGGGACATGTTTTAGCATAGTTTACGATTTACATATCCAAATCTCTAACACCGCATAATTTATCATATGCAAGAACTTTTCCTATATTCAAGAATTACATACCTAAATCGAAAGTCGCATATTCTATATTATGCGACATATTTTCGCATAATTTACGACTCGCATATCCAAATCTACTGATTAATTTACCATATGCGATAACATTTTGCATACTTTTTTTTATCGCATATTCAAATCGAACGTCGTTTATTTTATGATTATGCGAAAAATATTCGCATAGTCCACGACTCGCATATCCAAATTCACCGATTAATTTACCATAAGCAATAACATTTCATATATTCTGTCACGCATATCCAAATCGATGTCGCATGTCTTATGATTATGCGACAAATGTTTGCATAGTTTACGACTTGAATATCCAAATCTATAACGCCGTATAATTGATAATTATGCGTAATATATTTGCATATTCAAGAATCTCACATACAAATCGAGACCCGCATAATTTAGGATTATCCATCATTTTTTCGCTGATCTGTATCATCAATTGCGTATCCGAAGAAAAATGTTTAGCATAGTTTACGCACTGCATTGATTTTTTTTATTCTCACATAAAAAACTTAGACAAATGACATGTACCTACATTAGTTGATGTAGATGTATGTATACCACCATTATTACTACTCATGAATTCTATGATTTAATTGCTAACCTTTCATTTCTCGAAACTAAAAAAAAAATAAAAGGAAATCAAACAAGAGTGTTATCCTTAAACTCCGATCGTATAAAAAAAATTAGGCACGTTTGCAAAAAAATGGATAGGATTCCACGCAATAAGCACATCGCGATCCGCTTCCATGGCGTAGAGTGGACTAGTGGTGAGGAAGATGCTTGCTACCGAGTGTTTTTCAAGAAGTGCCATGAGAAGACAGACATACACATAGGCCTTGTGTTCAATTCCTTGTGGTAAGAAATTGCACGTTCGCACTGCACGCAGAGTTATGCCTTGAAGAAGTATTCTATTCCCTATGTTCGGGGAAAGATTCGGTGGCTCAGAAATTATTTTGATGAATTTTTAAGTTTCCTGTTGATTCTAGGAGTTCGAGTGCATGTTGATGCTGGACTTGTTACTATTAACCACATGTACTGGTTGTATGTGAGCGAAGTAAATAATTTATTATTTTAGTTTGTCATGCAATTTGTGACATAGTTGTTGATGCTCAAAACTGTCAACAATGTTGTTCGAACTGCGTACTAAAATATACGCTCGGTTCGGACTGCACGAATAGAATTATATAGTGTATTCAAAACGGATACTCGATCTATCCGTGACTTTTCTTTATATTAATTATGAGAGAATATATGAATTAAACTATAAAAATAAGAATATATCATTAAGTAATGCCTCTCAGATAATTAAAATGTTTTCTCTTTTTTGAGAATGAATGTTCTCTCCCTTTCTCCATCATTGAGGCTTTATTTATAATATAGTTTATAATGTAGTACATTTGCACTTTTTGTACTTACATTATATGTAGTACAAGTTACTATTCATCACTTGGAAACCCCTGTTCGGTCCGGAATACTTTCTATTCGTACTTTGTGGCCCTGTTCGGTTCGGAATACATCATGTTCGTACTTTAGGGCTCTGTTCGATTCGGGATACTTTCTGCTTGTAATTTAGGGCTCTATTCGGTCCGGAATACTTTATGTTCGTACTTTATGTTCGGTCCAAAATACATCCTGTTCGTACTTTAGGGCCCTGTTCGGTCCGAAATACTTCATGTTCGTACCTGTTCCATATTTAGAAAAATTTGCACTTTAGAAATCCATTTCTTGGGCATTTTAAGCCCTTTTTAGCCCCCGTTTGCTTTGCCATGTGTCACTCTTCTATTAGCCGTGATCAAATTGGGTATCACCAATAGGCCCCCGAGTTTAGTACATGTTCTGAATAGAGCTGTTATGAAGTCACACCATATCACAATTTGAAAGGCTTCTCGTCTGCACTTCATCTTGGCTAATCTTTATGTAGGTCGTTTTTCCTATGCGGGTGTAGTGATTTGAACATTTTATGCAGTGGTTCGAACTCTCTTTGTTTTTGCGAGCTTTGAGCTATTTGCTTGTTTGAGCTTTGAGCCCTTCGTTTTATGCAGTATATGCATAATGCTAGCATGTGATGAATGCATGCATGTATGATGAATGCGAGCATGATGAATGTGTGAATGTATGATGAATGTTCGATGCGCTTAGCCACTAAAAAGTACTTTATCGGGCTCATGGCCTTCCTGAATTGCTCGAAACTTTACCCATATAGGGTCATTTGGTTTTTCATCGAACAAACTATCGATGTTCGGACGTTTAACCTTATAGGGTTTCATTCATTTTCCACCGAACAAATTAACGTTGTTTGAACGTTTACCTTATAGGGTTTATTCATTCTGCCGAACAAATTAACGTTGTTCGGACGTTTACCCTAGGGTTTTATTTATTTCTGCGGGACAAATTAACGTTGTTCAGACGTTTACCCATATAGGGTTTTATTCATTTCTGCCGGACAAATTAACGTTGCCTGGACGTTTACCTTTAAAGGGTTTCATTTATTTTTCGTGGCTTGTAGGCCTTTAGTTTCATGGCATTGCGGCCTCGTGGCTCATAGACTCAGCCGGAGTCGGGCTGGACGACAAGAAAATGTGGACGTCGGCTCGGTCGGAGTTGAGGCTCTACGACGAGCAAAATATGGACGTTGGCTCCGCCGTAGCGGAGGCTCTACGGCGAGGAAAATAAGGACGTCGACTCACCCAGAGTCGAGGCTCTACGGCAAGCAAAATATGGACGTCGGCCCAGCCGGAGTCGAGGCTCTACGGCGAGCAAAATATGGACGTCGGCTCATAATTTGTTATTTCATGATATATTATTATGGTTAATGTGTACTTTGGTACTAGTCTTTGCGGAGCATAGTGGTTTTTGCTCACGCCCCCACAAACTATTTTTTTAGGTGACGGAGTCCAGCGAGGAGCATGAACGACAGTGGTGGTGGTCCAACAGTCAATTTGAAAACAATCATGTTGCTATCAATTTTTGAACATGTTTTTTAACTATGTTTTGTCTTCCGCTTTTGAGACGAGACATGAACAATGCATGATTTTATTCCAGCAATTCCATGATATCTTTATCTTGGGAGTGGTTTGGTTTGGTTGCATGCTTAGTCGTTTTATGTTATGTGAAAAGAAAAGAAAAATAAATTGAGTTTTCCTTAAGTAAGCAACTTGAGGTTAAAGATAAGAATGAAGTTAAGTAAGTAAGAATGGTAGCATCCCGCGAGAAAGTTTAAAGTGTTTCTGAAAAATATTAAGTGTTTTCGAATATAAAAATGAAAAGAAAAATTTTACTCTGATTTTTAGAAACTAGTAGGCGGGGTGTCACAGTTGTAGCTTTGTGTGTCTTGTGTTTTTCTGTGTTTTTTTGGTTGTACTCTCCTGTTTGGAGCCGTGTTCTTCTCTTGTTGG